ACACACACACACACACACACACACACACACACACACACACACACACACATACCTGCCCTTGATAAGAATGAATGGTTCTCGCCAATTCTTCTTCAAGATCTTTGGCTCGCTTTCTATAAGGAACAATCATTCTACTATTAACAATATACTAAGAAATGAGAGAATACACTGTATCTACTGAAAATAGAAATTAAAATACCTAGAGTGCTTTGTTTAATATAAAAAATAACTACAGAACTCTACACATTAATCAGCTTTAAGAGGTTCTAAAGCAGTATATTTTTCTTGATATAATTTTAACATTAATTGTTATTTAAGAGTACTATTACTTGGGTTTACCTAAACCAAAGGCCATGCAAGGATTTATATGATATATTGGTTTGTCTTTATTTTTAAGAAGCATGAACTTGGAAGACTTATTCAGATGCCTGTAATCCTAACAGAATTCTAGGAAATTAACCAACTGTGTGAAATAAAATGTTACTTACTACCTTTACACAACTAGTAAGATAATTTCTTCTTTTGGATAAAACCCAAGCTTACTCTTCCTAATACAAAATGAAGTATCAGAACTGTTTGGGACACTGCTAAATCTTGCCCCTTATCTTCTCTAGGTTTTCTTTTATTTCCATGAAACTAATGACAAATGAACCAAGGAAAAAACTAGACATATAAACACTTCTTCAGACTTTTAGCTGTGGCTCACTCTTTTTGAGGCATACTTCTCAAATTCCTTAATATTGTATACATTCTTCCCCATTGAACCAAAGAGGAAAGACCTTGAAATTAACAGCTATTCATAAATTTCTTCACATTAACATAAAATAGGATTTCCCATGTTCAAATACAACTAATGTGAGAGATTCAAAATCATACACACTGAAAGGAAAACATTTTTTCCTTCTTACATTTTCTGTGTAATTGCATAATAGCAAGATATCCAAATGAAAAATAATCAGAAAAATGTTGGGTTTATTTTTTTTGGTTGCTTTATTATTTTTTCTGATACTAGGTTTTTGGATACCCTTCCCACCTCAAAAAGAAAGGAGTAAAATATGTTCAGTACCTGTAGGTCTCCAGCTCTTCAGCTGCATGACTGATCTTTTCATCTGCTTTGGAAAGTTTCTCCTCTTTCTCTAATCGGTAATTTTCCTCTACTGTTAATTTCCTTAAAACAAAAAGTGTTGTTGTTTTTCTACAGTATGTCATAAGATAATCATATATATCTTTTTAATTATATGGCAACTGGTGTTTCCCATAAAACAATTTGCATAACACCACTAAAAACATCACATGCAAGAAAAAAAGTACCTGCGGTAAATATTCCTGGTGTGGAACTTAATATTATAAACTGAAATTATAAACCATCTTGTCTAATATAGTACTACTAATATAAAAGTTTTAAGAGTTTTCTATAAGACTTTATCATAAAAATAAGACCAAAGGTAAATATTAGTAGAAACTATGACTATATATTATTTATTAAGACTTCTCATATAAAGCAACGTTACATTTATTAGACAAGAAGTCATCAAGTAATGAACTGTATTTCAATCATTTTTAAATTGGTTGTTAAGTCATTAACATAGTAATTAAGCTTCCAGGACAGTTCACATACACCAAAAAAAAAAAAAAAACAAAACAAAACCCAACTTATAAAGAACCCAAAGTAAATAAAAGTAGTAGTAACACTCCTTCTTACTACTTCTAGTTCTCTTAGTAACAATAGCTAACTTAGTGAGCCATTAGTATGTGCAAGAAATTGTTTTTAGACTTTTACATGTATTATTATCCTATTTAATTATCATAATAGCTCTACAAGAAGAGAAAGGAAGCACAGAGAAACTAAATAAGTGAACCTAGGCATAGAGCTAGCAAGTAGTGACTCCATTATACTATATTACTCATTGTTTCACATGGTATCATCAGTAACACTGGTCCTTCAAGAAATACTTATTGAACACCACAGGAAAAGACATTTGGAGTCCTAAATGTGAATGTCTCCCCTTCTTCATGAACTTGGGGGAGGCACATGACAAATTACTGAAGAAATTCTACAGGGCAGGACTAAACGTTTTATATTCCACAAACTATATTACCAGTTGCTAAGAAAGCACTTGCTAGGTCAATCGTTTCATAGGTGTTAGAAGAAAATAAAAATCATCTCTTCAGAAGAAGTATGAAAGTATAATGGGCTTGGAGATAGAAGGAGGTGTATTTTTACAGAATCTAGATTAAAAATGGCCAGAATTTCTTTGACACCTCTGCTGCTAAGAAGTAGTCTATGAACCTTCCCCTTGAAGGCTCATTTATGATGGAAATTGCACTATAAAAGAAGCCTGATGATTTGACCAAAAAACAATTACATCTTACTTCACATATTTAAAGCAACTTATCAGGGCATCTGTGCGGCTCAGCCGGTTAAGCATCAATTATGGCTCAGGTCATGATCTCAGGGTTGTGAAATCGAGCCCCACATCAGGCTCTGCGCTAGGCATGGAACCTGCTTAAGATTCTCTCCCTCTCCCTCTGCACCCTCCTGCATGCTCATGTGCTCTCTCTCTCTCTCTAAAAATAAGTAAAATAAAAATCTGAAAAAAAAAAAGATTCTCTCTCTCCCTGCCCCTCAACCTCTAAAAAAATAAAAAATAAAATAATAAAATAATAATAATTATAAGGCAACATATCAAGCTTCTATGTTATACTATTTCACTTCTCTCCAATATTAAATCTGGAAAAGTGCTAGTAATGTAATATACCTCATGGACACCATCAAACTAGCATCTAGAAAATGAATGAATCTAAATCACACTGGTATGCAGGCAAAATTAATTTAACATTTTACTAACACTATCAACTCTCTATATTCTACTCTAAAGAACAACCAGTGGCACAATTCACTGAATTTGAGTAACGAATATTTTAATTTAAATGTAAGAATGGAATATACAGTATTTTGGGAATTGAAAATATTTCAGATTAATGAATGAAATCACAATGTCAACAACATACACAGAGCCAAGATTCTACTAAGCTTCCCACCCGTGCTCTGAATATCTACAGAGAACACCTTTTCTTTTTGAAATTTTAAACATTCCTCATCAAAATTCTATAATTAACCAATCAATCAAGTTCAAAAGATACACTCAAAAGTATTCCTTTTACCTCAACTAATCCCCTTTATGCCCAAATTTTACTCCCAATATCTTTCATCCTAACCTAAAATGAAGGGTCGTCCATTCCTATGTTTACTGATGAAACCCATGAGCTGTCCACTCTGTAGCTCTTCCATTTAGTCAAGTGTATTTCTCTTTCATAACCTGAGCAGTCCCAAGTGGCCCAAAGGTCCATGATGAACAGCAAGTTTTTAATTTTTGAATGGACCCCAAAGAATGATTAAAGTATATAGCTTGGCAATGACAGAGCTTAACAAATCCCCCAGCATCCTGATGGTAATGTAATGTTGGTATTTTCTACCAGTTTCCAAATACATAAAAAAGAATCTCATTCCCATTAATTATGTTTTCTAAAGTCACCACAAATCTTAAATTAGCAAATACTGAACCAGTGCTCTTAAGGGAAGCAGAATTAGGTTTCTGTATGCTCTGGTGACAGCATTTTCATCTACCAGTCAATACATAACCCTGTTTTATGTGTGTTGGTTTAAACACACCTTATTTAACATCTATTGTTGGTTTATTAATAATGAACTCATGGCCAACAGCATTATAACTCATGTCCGAACAAAGGTTATCTTTTGAAAAAAGCACAAAAACATGGCAACTACATATAATGCAAAAAGGACACCTGTTTAAAAAATAAGAGCTGAAATACAAAAGCATACTGGGAACGTGCACATTGGGCAATTCACATTTTTTGCCGTTCTGTGCATGTCTAAGAATGACCACTACAGCTCCGTGAGTACTGGTTTGGGGTTAAAAGTAAGTTTTCTCAAGTAGGTAAATTTGCAAATACAGACACTACGAATGACGAAGATCGGCTGTAATAACTTTCATTAAAGGGGCTTGAAATTACATTAATTAAATCAAGTTATATTTTATTTCCTTTTATGATGAAAAATATGTCCTACAGAGGTATTTGAAAATCTGGAATCTCCAGATAGGTATCTTAACAGTCTTCTGTGTTTCTATGCATTTAGGCATCAGTACACACACACACAATACACACACATCAGTATACACAGAATCTTTCACTCTAATATATAAAGGTACTAACATACTTATTCATATATTCAACAAATGTTTATTGAATAACTACCATGTGCCAGACAGAATATTAGGAACCAGAAATACAGAAGAAAAGAGAATTCTCTCATGGAGTTTACATTTAATGTTGGGAAGATTAAAAAAAAAAAAGACATTCATCAGAGGACTATAAGGGCTATAAAGAAAAATAAAGCAACACAAGGGGATAGGGAATTGCAGGTATTATCTTAGTTAGGGTAACCAGAGTAAGATTCTTTGAAGCAACATTTGAACCTAGACCCAAATGAAATGAAGGATTTAACCTTATACAGGGGAATACCAGTCCAAGGCAGAAAGAGCAATTGCAAAAGGCCCTGAGGTATAGATGTGCTCAGCATGCTAAAGATCATCGAGAAAGGCCAGTGTGCTGGAGGGTAATGAAGGAAAAAGAAAATGAATAAGCTAAAATTAAAGGCATAACCAGGAAAAAGGAAAAAAAAAAAAAAAAAAAAAAGAGGTAGCCAAAAGTCAGATCTTACAGAGTCTTGTAGGCCATATAAAAGCTGTGGACTAAATTCTAAGTGTTACATGAAGGCACTTGGAGTTTGCAAACAAGACAGTGACAATACCCATAATTTATGTTTTAGAAGGGTCATGCCACTGGAGACAACTGTGCAGGAAGTTAAGTGGAAAAAAACTACTCATAAGGCTACTGCAATAAACCAGGCACTAACTGATGATGGTTTAGATGAGACTCATAGTAGGGGAGGCATGAAAAATGGTCAGATTCAGAAGAAAAAGTGTTTCAAGATCAAATAACTTCCTTAAAAATGAACTGATGAGGGGGAGACGAACCATGAGAGATGATGGACTCTGAAAAACAAACTGAGGGTTCTAGAGGGTAGGGGGGTGGGGGGATGGGTTAGCCTGGTGATGGGTATTGAGGAGGGCACGTTCTGCATGGAGCACTGGGTGTTATGAACGAACAATGAATCATGACACTGCATCAAAAACTAATGATGTAATATATGGTGATTAACATAACAATAAAAAATTAAAAAAAAAAAATGAACTGATGAAATATTACCCAATCATAAATTGAGTACTTTGAATATCACATAAGCTGAATATGCACTATTTTTAAGCTATTTTACTTGCCATACAGTGAAGTTATCAATGTAATTTTTATTACCTGTGAAGTGTCATTTCATTTTCTTGATACAATTCGGTCATTACTTTAAGTTTCTGCTGAAGCTTTTGATTCTCACTTTCAAATTGTATATTTTCTGACTGCAAAGATGCTTGTTCAGTCTGGAGATTTTTAATACACTCTATAGAAAATTTTTAAAAATCACAAAGGAGTAAACATTTTGAGATGCACATTAATATTTCATAAAGATTAAAATTACCAAAAATAATAAATTATTAATAAATGAAATTCTTTCCAACAGAAAATGTGTACTTTGTTCACCTAAATGCTCTTTAATATTTTAAGTAAAGAACTAGATAAACTGTTACAACTTTTTTATTACTCCAAGATTTCCCAAAACCTTCAATATTCTAATTCCAGCATCTACTTTTCAGTTAGGGTGCCAAAAACCAGTAGAATTCTTATGATGGTTATGGAGATGAGAGTTCTGAAGGGAAATATTTTAGTTCAACATTTCCTGTGGGCGCCTAAGTGGCTCAGTTGGTTAAGTGTCTGCCTTTGGCTGGGATCAAGTCCCCTATCAGGCTACTTGCTCAGTAGGGAGCCTGCTTCTCCCTCTGCCCTCCCGCCCCTGCTCAGGCTAGTGCCGCTACCAGCGCACTGTCACAAAAAAAAATAAAATCTTAAAAAAAAAAAAAATTCCCTGTGAAACTACTTCCACATGATGAACAATTCCTATTTTTATCTAGTAAAAAGTTTACAGGTTAATACTTAACTTCTAGCCAGCCCTCCTTTTAAGCAAAATTGAGATATATGTTATAAGTCAGGCCAGAAATTTCGACCTTCTGGTAAGAAATGGTACAAAATCATCCTAGCTTAATCCAGATCAAGACTGGAGAGAAAAATATCAGTTTTAACTTGTTTCAAATGCTAACCCACCTAAAAGAATTATCTATAAAACAAAAATTAACAATTCTAAGTAATTATGAGTGCTAGATAATTAGTGCATTGTTATCAAAAACCATTTATCGTCCAACATCATAACTCCACCTTTGACCTCCTCTAAGACTGAGGTGCCATCTCCCAAAACATGTATATAAATCATAACCACAAATCTTTTTTATTAAGTAGGCTCCACACCCAATGGGGGGCTTGCACTCATGACCCTGAGATTAAGAGTCGCATGGTCTACCTCTACCGACTAAGCCAGCCAGGCGCCCCCACCACAAATCTTAATGAAAGGCAAAACTTATTCTGTGTAGAGGGCAGTTTCAAAAATCACAAAATCATACTAACAAGCATTAAAATTTTAGTAATCATATGTAATGGCATTCTAATTACTCTAAAGGTATATAATTATTCATCCATTAATTAATCATATATATCAAAAGGAAAGTTTAAAGTAAATATGCTAACATCAAATGATCTTAATGTGCATACCTGTCCTTCCACAAAAATTTTTAAATCTACATCAGAAGAAATCTGTTGACCTAGGCTTTAAGCCAATGCCAAGAACAGTCATTTAACAGACATTAATGCCAGATATCATCTCTGGTAAAACTGGATCATAGGGATGATCTTTTAAAAGTTAACAGTTTTAATTTGCTACTTTTTAACATCTAAAACCATATCACACATATAACACTGAAATTCAAAGATAAGTATGGTTTTACATGTTTTTCTTAAATAATTTCATTGTTTTTATTTCATATGAATATGGAGGAAACTGATAATAAGGCTTTACCAGCAACAAAAAACTCAGTACTAATTTTTCACAAATCAGAAACAAAAGTAAAAGTTAAAAAAACAATCGAATTGGGCCTTTGCATAATTGATTCAGTTAACAGTACCATTCCGGATAAGGAGATATAACCTACCTGTAAGCTCTTCTTTTGTCTTATCTACTTCAGATAATTGAATGTAAATTTGGTTTCTTTCTCCTTCCAGGGTTTTTAAAGAAGCATTTAACTTCAGAGAATGGAAGAAGGAAAAAAGCAACATTAATCAGTTATACCAAAAAAGGAAAAACAAAAAATCTCAATATACTATCCCAACCTTTTGAAGTTCTTTTATCACTCGGCTGAAATTATCACCTAGAATGCATTAACCAACAATGCAGCTTCCATCTTGAAAAGTTATCAGTAGTTGTAAATATCAGAACAGAGAGAGATCAATGACTGATCCCTAAAAAGTGGGTATTTTCATTCTATTTACTTTCAACACAGAAGTTTTAATTAGAGCAAGCTTCAAAGTACATTACCAAGACTTCACATAGTTCAGTAAAGATCAAGATAACCACTACTACAATGGAAAAGAAAAGGGATAAAGTAGAAGAAATTGAACCTAGCATTTACTTCTCAAATTAGGATATGGGGCAACAGGAATAGGAAAATACTGAGACCAGAGGAAGAAGAATGTTCAAAGTCAGAAATATGAGAGAAAATACACTAAATATTTTTAATATATTCTTTATCCAAAAACATTAGTCCAGACCTTAAAAATTTGTATTCTGATAAATTCTAAAAATTAACAATATGAATTTCTAAAGTTATTATAAAAAAGAAAAAAGCAATTGATAAAGAAAATGCTGATCACTTCTGAAAATGTGCATCGCTTCTATGGTGGTAACTATAAAATGGACTTTTAAAATAATTACTAAGGACCTATAGGTTTAATCCAAGTTCTATTTCCTTCTCTATAGTCTTTATATTTATGTAGTAATGCAAACCTTAGCAGCATGAATCAGCTTCTTCAAAGCTCCTTTTGGTTGATTATCTACAGTAAAAAAAAAGAAGAAGAAGAGAAAAAACCAATAAATTGGGAAAACAGTGCCACACCACAACAGACATCCAAATGATTTTTTTAGTTCACGCAACTAGAGCCTTATAATCCCTCTTCTTGCTTTAATAAAGAATTTGATATAAGGCAGGATGGCCTTGGACATGCTCCCAAGAAGCTAAACAATAAAGCACTGGAAGTACCATAATTTCATTTAACGAGGTTCTTCAACACTCACTCCAAGAACAAATTTATAATAAGAATCTGGTATTCACCTAAATACAGTCCATGGTCTCGACTATTCTTAGAATCTTTCAGCATACAAAATGTAACTGGAATTATACTCCACACTGAAATAACATTAAACAAGCATGCATTTTCTCATTACAAAAGGAATTGCTTCTTGTAAGATAAAGCAGAAGTGAAAAAGTACAAACAGAACAAATGTGTTCACTTTAGGGATGTAGTTTTCTTCCAGTACACTAATGCTATCACCAAAGAAATTTACAAAAAAAATCATATCTTCTGCTCCTTAATAAATTTGCTCATTATGCAGGGGGTAGAAGGAGAAAAAAGAAACAAGATACAAAGTCAGAAGAGCTGCGGGGAAACTAATAAAAGATACACAAAACACTTCTGTACTCTCTTTGCAACTTCCAATGAATCTATAATTATGTCAACAAAAAATACCTTTTTCAAGTCAAAGGAACTGGTTTGAAAATACAGTGAGCGGCTATAGTGAACCTAACTCATGCCTGAGTTTCCAGACTGCAACCAGCAGTGGTAATAACAATTTGGGATGGACAGGATTAAAGTACTGAGCCATCTAATTTAAACAAACAAACAACTAAAACAGTATCCTAAGATATTCATCTATATAACACTCATTTTTTAAACTACCCACCCATCCATCTGATTAACTGACATGACAGGGAAAAACAGGCATTGAAATTATTATGATGCAATGTGAAAATTGCTGTAACAAAGATGGACAATATAGAAAAAGAACAGGGAAGAAAGAAGCTGTAAATCTGTCTGAGGAGTTGGGAGAAAAATTTACTGAAAAGGCAGTATTCCAACTGAAGCTTAACAATAAGAGATGGCGAGAGAGGGACAAAGTATTAGAGACAGATGAAGATGTGCCAAAGCAGAATTGCATAAAGAACATGGTGCACACAGGGGCGCCTCGGTGGCTCAGATGGTTAAGCATCTGCCTTCAGCTAGGGTCATGATCCCAGGGTCCTGGGATGGAGCCCCGCATCGGGCTCCCTGCTCAACGGGGAGCCTGCTTCTCCCTCTCCCTCTGCTCTTCCCCCTGCTTGTGCTCTCTTGCTCTCCCTGTCAAATAAATAAATAAAATCTTAAAAAAAAAAAGAAAAAAGAAAAAAGAACATGGTGCACACAAAAAACAAATAATCCAATCAAGAAATGGGCAGAAGATATAAACAGGTATTTCTCCAAAGAAAACACACAAATGGCCAACAGACACATGAAAACATGCTCAACATCACTCAGCATCAGGGAAATACAAATCAAAACCATAATGAGATACCACCTCACACCAGACAGAATGGCTAAATTTAACAAGTCAGGAAACCAAGGAGGCGGAGAAAGGGGAACCCTCCTACACTGTTGGTGGGAATGCAAGCTGGTGTAGCCACTCTGGAAAACAGTACAGAGGTTCCTCAAAAAGTTGAAAACAGAGCTACCCTACGACCCAGCAATTGCACTACTAGGTATTTACCCCAAAGATACAAATGTAGTGATCTGAAGGGGCACCTGCACCCCAATGTTTATAGCAGCAATGTCCACAATACCCAAAATATGGAAAGAGCCCATATGTCCATCAAAGATGAATGGATAAAGAAGATGTGCTGTCAGACATAAAAAAAATGAAATCTTGCTATTTGCAACAACATGGATGAAACTAGAGGGTATTATGCTAAGCAAAACAAGTCAATGAGAGAAAGACAATTATATGATCTCACTGATATGTGGAATTTAAGAAACAAAACAGAGGATCATAGGGGAAGAGAGTATAAAATAAAATAAGACAAAACCAGAGAGGGAGACAAACTATAAGAGACTCTTAATCACAGGAAACAAACTGAGAGTTGGAGGGGAGGGAGGTGGGGAATGGTGTAACTGGGTGATGGACACTAAGGAGGGCATGTGAAGTGATGAGCACTAGGTAGTATATAAGACTGATGAATCACTGACCTCTACCTCTGCAACTAATAATACATTATATGTTAATTAACTGAATTTAAATTTAAAAAAAAGAAAGAAAACTTGAGAGCCAAAAAAAAAAGACCATGGTGCACATAGGGAACTAAAAGAAAATACAACAGGCTCATCATTTTTAGCAAAAGAGGATGAATCATGACTTAATAATACCCAACTGCATACCATTTTCTGATTCACTCATTTCCAACTCCAAGTTATCATCGTTTGTTATGTCTTCTCCCAGCACAGCAGCCCAATCTTTCATCTTTATCAAGCGTTCAGTAAGAGACTTGACATTTAGCAAAAAAGGGAGAAAAGAGAAAGAGGGTAATGCCTTTTGCTAATTTACAACTTCTGAATGTGCAGTCACAGTTTAAAAATCAATCTACATAGATAACAGTACATGAGCTCTTATTCACCAGCTGATACTAAGATATGTAAATACTCTGAAAAGCTATAACATTTACTAACTATTAAACTCTACAAGTTAAAAACCAAAGGGGTTTTTATTCCTGTTTATTCCTAAATCAAATACAATACTTGATAATGGCCCATTTTTGCTAAATACATCACATGACTATAGAGTAACAAAACATTTTCTTATAGGACATTCTTCACATGCCACAAATAAGAGTGGCCATTAACATTAGAGTAAATTTTGTGTGAGGTCAAACAAATCTGCAAGTGAGACACATGATATATAAAAAGATCACAGACTTTACAGATCTGATTTTTTCAAATAAATGATTAGGTGAGGAGTTCAATTGAGATAAAGAAAAAAAATTATAGAACAGAATCTGAATTGGTACATTAGAGGTTTTCCAACAGTACTTTTTGAATTTTCTCAAATAAAGGAAGATTTTCTAGCACTATAGGTAGTAAAATGACTGTGCCATGCATTTCTGTGGAAGGACCCACCTAAAAACCCATTCTGCTCTATAATTTCTACCCTTCAATCTCTTCCCTCTTGAGAGTTCCAGGGATAAATAACATGGCTTACAGCTTTGACTGAGCTTGAGATTAGCATCTCATTCTTGTTCTGTTTAGGAAGAATCCCAAATTCTTTAGTAGGGTAAGATTAGGGAAAAAAATAAAGCAATATCCCAAATTATGAATACAACTCCTAAAGCTGGAATCTTAAAAACATTCTTAGTGGGGGTGGGGGAATACATAATAACATAACATAATAAAATAAAATTTAAAAAAAAATTCTTAGTAACAACATAAAGAGCATAAATATCTAGGTTTCAAGATGGCAACCTCCACTTCACTGCATAGATTACAGAATATTAGTTTTACATCTTATTACTTGATACTCACACCTGAGTATCTGTCTGCAGCTTGAAAGCATAAGATTTAAAAGAACAGGAAAGAAAAAGGGCTAGAATGAGGCAAATAAGGAGTAGGAAAAAATGGAACAAATCCTACAATATCAATTATTATATTCTTATTAGAGTCAAGTTTCAGTTAGACTTATTTTTTGAAAAGTATTCATCTACATGAAAGTACATACACCAACTAATCTAGGTATTACAGACATCCAGCCAATACATATAACTTCATCTGTCCAATTTCTAAAATTCTTTCCAACATCTTATCAATAGAAACAGATGGCAGTCTAAAGACAAAGGTAAAATCCACTATTCTTTTTCTTTCTTCGTTAAATACCTAGGGTAAAATACAGAGCAAAGAAGAAAAAGGACACACAGAATAATGATTTATATAGATCATATATATTAATAATATATATCAATAATACACATTAATATATTATATATTACATAATATATAATTAGTATACACTATTACATAATATATAATATATGTTACAAATCTGTGAGTGCTCAAGGAGCATTTGGGAGCAAGAATGACAATACTGGTACAAATTAAAATGAATGCCAAAGAAGTACACATGCTCAAATTTGACCAAATAATTATAAAAATAAAAGTCACTAAGACAAAAATTTTCAAATTTCAGAATTAGTACAAAATTCCAGCTGACTCACTCACTAAAACCAGGGGGGCCACTTACCTTGATATGATTTTCTTTATCACACAGAACTTGTTCTGCACACACTTTGGAGTCTTCAAATGTTATTTTCTGTTTATTAAGTTGACTCACTTGTTCTTTCCATTCTTCAGCATCTTGTAAAAGCTAAAATTCAAACCCCACCAAAACAAAAAAGCAACTCATTATTTTTCATACTTATATGTAAAGAAATTTTTTTATATATTTAGATGTATCATTAATAGATATTATACAACACAATGTGTTGCTAAGAAGTAAAGTGGGGAGGGATGAAAGAAGGAAAGAAAGGAATGAAGGGCAGGCTCCTGTTTTCAAAGAATTTTCAAAAAGGATAATGCAAAATAAGAGACACTTAAAACTTAAACACTCTTCAACTGGTTTACATAATAAACTTAGAGCAAATAAAAGGCTTTTTGAGACATATATATATGTCAGATTTGGTCATTTCTTACCATCCCTTAAGTCCTGTTTTTTTTTTAAATCATGTGCTGTTTTGTAGTTAAGATAACTAAACTTCCAGAGATACCACTAAACTGGAATAGATCAAATTCTGCATAAAGTCTTTTACTGTATATACTTTTACAGGAAATACTTTTTGAACATGACGCAAAAGGTAAGGATTGTTATAAAACAGACTTGATTACATAACACTTAAAAGCTTCACAAATCAAAAAATAACACAAAATCTAAAAACAAACAAGTAACTAGAAAGGAATTCTTATACATATGTGACAAAAGATTAATAACCTTAACATGCAAAAATCTCTTAGAAGTCAGTAAGAAAAACAGGAAAAAAATGAATGAGCAACCAATTCACAAAAGAAATGGGCCATATAAATATGAAAGAAAAGTCCAAATTTATTAAATCTTTAAAACTCAATTCTATCAAACAGTAATTATTGGATTTCTCTGCAAAACTAAGGCTTCATAAGCATATTTCCTAGCACAAGAAAACTAAACTTTTTCTACGCGTATATAACAGAATTAAGAGGACACCAACAGATTAAAAACAAATGAGGACTGAAGACAAAAATCTGAATTTTGTGATTAGATGGACTCTAGAGAGTTACTAAAGAAACTGGATACCCAGGGGCAGCTGGGTGGCTCAGTAGGTTAGGCATCTGCCTTCAGCTAGGATCATAATCCCAGAGTCCTGGGATGGAGTCCCACATAGGGCTGCCTGCTCAGCAGGGAGTCTGCTTCTCCCTCTCCATCTGCCCCCTCACCCCCGCTCGTGCTCGCTTTCTCTCATTCATTCTCTCTCTCAAATAAATAAAAATCTAAAAAAAAAAAAAAAGGAAGAATAAGAAATTGCATACCCAGCAGTCTTTAAGAAGTCAGGGAAGGAGTGTATTAGAACATGGCATCAGTGAATATAGAATAGTTGATTTCAAGAACTTTAGTTATTAAAAAGGAGTTAGATGAAAGCAGGTGTAAAGAGTAAGACAATCTAGGGGTGCCTGGGCGGCAGAGCTGGATAAGCGTATGACTCTTGATTTTGGCTCAGGTCATGAACTCAGGGTTGCAGACCAAGGTCTGTGTCAGGTTCCATGCTCAGCATGGAGTCTGCTTAAGTTTCTCTCTCCCTGTCCTTCTGCCACTCCCCACCCCTCTCTCTCAAATAAATAATCTTAAAAAAAAAGAGGAAGACAATCTAGGTGAAATTTTTTCAAGATAGAAAAGGCCAGTTTTTATTTCAACAGAGCAATTTAACACAAGGTTTACCACCACTTTCTCCTGCAGTCTATTAAATGAGAGTAAATCTACTAAGAGACTTAGGAAAAGGAAAAAACGCAGTAGCATAAACCCACAAGAAAAAAGAAAATAGGCGATAAGGAAAAAGGTAATTCTAGATGTGGAAAGTAGAGGGGCACCTGGGTGGCTCAGTCAGTTGAGCATCTGACTCTTGATTTCGGCTCAGGTCCTGATCTCAGGGTCTTAGGACTGAGTCCCATGTCAGGCTCTGCACTGGGTGTCCTGCTTAAGATTCTCTCCCTCTCCCTTCTCACTCTCCCTCCTGCCAACTCACTCTCTCTGGGGGGAAAAAAAAGTAGAAAGAGAAAGAAGTATAGTAAAAGATTTAGCAGACCATCAAAGCTGAAATTTACTCAGAAGATGGGAAAGTCCAAATGCAGGTTGATTTCATACAACCCAAAATGCTCATAATTTGGAGGCACTAACACTAGGGGTATAAGTGGGATTGAAAAGAGGAGGACTGCCTGAAAGTACGTATAAAAAAAATTAGAAAGTCCCTCATGTTCTCCCTGCACATACATATATATATACATTCTTACTCTCCATCCATCTCTCCCACCCACCCTCATCTTTCACATGCATGCACACACACATATTTACACACATATACACATCTGGCAAAAGCCCAGAAAGTTATTCTCTGGAGAAGTGGAAAATGAAACTCTGGGATACCTGGCCCACGTGAAAGTGTGAGTAAAATATTGAAAACATAAAAGTATTAAGTGAAAGATGACTTACTGAATAGTGACAAACCAACAAGCCTTACCTCTCTGTTTATCTCACTGTTGGCAAATGGGCTTCTACCTCTCAAATAGAAACTGAGGAGGTATCATCCCTGTAGAAAATGATCTTCAGATACCAACAATTGGGGATCATCCAGTGAAACACTCTAGGCAAATTACCCTACAGAAGAACCTCCCAATAACACACACAGAGCTTCCACTTAGACATGGAGAGTTTCACTATTAAATGAACAGACTGTGGGCACCTGGGTGGTTCAGCTGGTTGAGCGTCTGCTCGGGTCATGATCCCAGGGTCCTGGGACTGAGTCAGCGTTGGGCTCCCTGCTCAGCAGGGACCTGCTTTCCCTCTCCTCCCTGCTCGTGCTCTCTCTCGCTATCTCTCTCTCAAATAAATAAATAAAATCTTTTAAAAAAATAAATAAGCAGATTGCAGTGAATCACCTAATACCTGACTTTAAAAAGAAACTCTTCAATAAAAGACATAGACCAAAACAGAAAATAGAGGAAACAAGACAACTCAGGGAACTGAAACATAACACTTCAAAAAGAAAAAAGAAAAAATATCTTCAGCAAGATAAGAACATGGCATCCATATATAAAGAAGAGGAATAAGCAAAACAAAACAAAAAAATACTTAAAATTGAAAAATATAGAAGAATAAGTCAATAAAACTCCCATATAAACAAGTAAATCAAAGAGGACATCTTCAAATAATTACTGTATAATCATATAAAAATCCCCAAAAAAGTATGTAGCAATTTCCCAGAACTGAATCAAGAGCAAGAGTTTCCAGACTAAGAGTTCCAGACATTCCAACAAATGTATGAAAAAAGACCCTGCATCATCATGATATTTTGGAGAACTAGAAACAATGAAAGATATTAAAAGGTTCCAGGGAGGAAAAGAGCAGATCACAAAAACAGATCCAGTAATCCAAGTAGCATTTGACTTCTCAAAAGCAATACTGGAAAACAAACACCACGGATCAATAATGTCAAAATTTCAAGAAAAAAAAAATTTAAACCCAGAAGATATCCAAACAAAATGTCAGTAACTTTAAGAGAAGAAGACATTCTCAAGAAGATGCAAATTTTTTTAAAAGTTAGCTTCTATACCTTTTTCTCAAGAAGCTAATCAAGAGAATTAACCACAAAAGAGCAAGTCTTGGATACAGGAAATAGAAGATCCAACACAGGAGAAAGACAAGGGGAAAGATGGGAATGAAGTGAAATCTCAGGACAACAGAAGCATTAACAGACCCAGAGAATAACTTTCTATCACATCAGGAGGATGGAAGACCCCAGGAAGAATTGCTTTAAAAAAAAAAAAAAAAAAAAATCAGTTGATTAACAAAGCATTTGAATGCATAAACAAGATATTTAAATCTCCAGAAAACAGCATTTGAATGCATAAATAAGATATTCAGCATCTCCAGAAGACAGACATATAGACAGGTATCCAGGAAACAAAACAATTACTAACCCTAGAGCAAAGAAAATGTTGGGTAAAACAGAACATGTAGTCAGAGCACACCGTGTGGATCAGCTGTAACACTTAAAGAACTGTAAATAATGTAATCAATAAAAAATTTTCCCATGGAAAAATTTTAACTATACTGGGAGAATAGTGGGACAGAAAACATATTTGCGTGTCTGAGACTGTCTAATATATATGAAGAAGGAAGAGGGTAAAAGCTAAATTTTCACTGATCTACCACCAGAACTATCTTTAGGTCCCAGACCCATAGCTTCAAGACAATTCTCATGCCTATTCTCTGTCCTCCTTCAGTCTGGCTTTGAGGAGTTGGTACTAAATGCTATCTGCTGTGATTACTAAAATTTGCCCTGGATTACTCTAACTACCGAAGGAACAAGGTGCCAGGAGTATACACTTTGCACCCTATACAAAAGAGACACCAAAGGGTATATGGGATTGTCCTGCTCTCCTGTTTTCCAGGAAAAGCCTAACCTTGCCCCTAGCATGGGTCAGTCTTGAGTATGCCCAAACATTTATAATTACATATTCACAGTTTAAAAGTCCCTATAGAGTACAAACCTGTTTCTGGCTTTCCTGAAGTTGGGAATTTTCACTCAAAGCATCTTTTATAGCTATCTTAAGTCGCTCTTCATTCATTTGAAATATTTTAAAGGTTGTTTTGGCCTAAGTAAAACACAACATATCAAGCTTATAAGAATTAATTTAATACAATAGCTCTTTTTTACACATACTCCCTAAAACATGGAATTAAAGTCAAAAACATGCCAATATTAATAGGAAAGGCAGTGTAGGGATAGAAAAAAGGCTAGTCTACAATCAGGGCCCAGTCATGGCTCTGCCATGAACTTGCCATGTGGCCTTGGATAAAGGATTTAACTACTTGTAATCTTTTACGTACTCTGTAGCAAATTTTGTTAACTTTTTATTATCTGCCTCTCTCTTACTAGAATTTAAACTAGATGAGAGCTTTCCTATTTTTTCTACTAATGTTAAGTGCCAAGCACTTTCAACAATGACCAGTACATAGGAAGAACTCAATAAATACCTGTCCAACAAAAAAATGAACCTTCCTGAAGCACCTTCTACAAAGGAACTATATCTAAGACCCCAGTATCTCAAATTCTAGTATTATATCTTCTTCTTTAAACATAAAACAGTAAAATTAAAGTGATTTTCAAAAGCAACAGACCTTCTAGGCTAATTCAACTTACTTCAGCCACTTGTGATTTAAGAGATTTTGATTCATCTTCTAGGGACTGTATCCTTTTTGAAATATCCACCATCTGGAAAGACAGCATCAATCAATAAACGAGTATTTATTTACTAAATTTCTCCAGCTTCCAAGACACCCCATACCTTAGATATATCGTTAACCTAATACATCTACTCAAAAAAAATGAGGATTCTAAGAAAACTTGTCAGCCATAAAAGAGATTTTATATGAAAGTTAGGCAATAATATTTCATCTCATCTTTAATATTTCATAATATTTAAGTTATATAGGCTCAAGATAAGTCCACTGACATCATATCTTACTAAATAATCACACACATCTAGATCTTCCTTACAACAGATTTTAAAATAAATGCCAAAGCAAAGTTAAAATGTTCTCAAAATACCTTTTGAGTAATTTAAAAAAATCCACCATGTATGTGATTATTCAACTTTATTTATGTGAGCCACTTTATAGTACATATAGAAAATATAAGAATGTGCAAGAAACTTAACATGGTAATGATAACCTCTAACATGTAAAAAAAAGCTAGTGGGGGCGCCTGGGTGGCTCAGTTGGTTAAGCAACTGCCTTCGGCTCAGGTCATGATCCTGGAGTCCCGGGATCGAGTCCCGCATCGGGCTCCCTGCTCAGCAGTGAGCCTGCTTCTCCCTCGGACCCTCCCCCCTCTCATGTTCTCCCTATCTCATTCTCTCTCTCAAATAAATAAATAAAATCTTAAAAAAAAAACTTAAAAAAAAAAGCTAGTGGATCTCGAAAATTTTACTCTCTGCTTAACAGCCTTCTGTATTTTGGGGATTTTTTTTAGAATGCATATAATACTTTAACTGATACCTATATATATATATATTTTTTTTTTTCTTTTTTAAGTGGGCTCCATGCCCAGCACAAAGCCCAACACAGGGCTTGAACACATGACCAAGATTGAGATCTGAGATCAAGAGTTGGACACTTAACCAAATGAGCCACCAGGCATCCCGATACCTACTAATATTTTAAAATTCAGTAACTTTCTTTTCCTACAGTCTCCTCATTTATGTAAAAACCTTACCAATTCATCTTGTTCGGAATGTTTAGATTTCTCTTCTTTTAATTGGTTTTCCAGAAAAAGTATTTCATCCTCCAGTTCAGATTTAGACTTGTTCAGATTTTCATAGACTGCCTAAAAGAGGAAGCCAACTTTATAAGACAGGCATAGAACTTTTTGGTTATGATAAATCAGACAAGTATAATCAAACACATATACTGTAAATCAAATAAATTTAGTTTACATATTTGTTCATTTTTATACCATTTAAATAATAGCAATGCTAGCAGGGGTCAGCAAACTTTTTCTATAAAAAGCCAGAGAGTAAATATTTTAGGCTTGCAGGCCATGCAGTCGCTGTCCCAACTACTCCTATGTAGTAAGAATGCAAAGACATGTAAATGAATGAGCATGGCTGTGTTCCAATAAAATTTTATTTACAAAAACAGGTGGAGAAACCAAACAATCTGATTAAAAATGGGCATGTATGTCTTCCAAAGAAGACATACAGATGGCCAACAGACACATGTAAAGACCCTCAACATCATTCATCATCAGGGAAATGCAAATCAAAACCACAATGAAGTGTCATCTCACACCTGTCAAAATGGCTAAAATAAAAAAGCCAAAAAATAACAAGTGTTGGCAAGGATGTGGAGAAAAAAGGAAACTTCGTGCACTGTTGCTGGGAATGTAAATTGGTACAGCCACTGTGGAAAACAGAGTACTATATGATCCAATGATTCCACTACTTTTCATTAAAAAAAAAAAAAAACCTAATTCAAAAAGATATATATACACCTATGTTTACTGCAGCATTATTTACAATAACTAAATAAAATAGGGCAGCCACGTAACTGTCCATCGATGGATGAATGGATAAAGAAGATGAGGTATATACACACAATGGAATATTACGTAGCCATAAAAAAATGATGAGATCTTGCCATTTGTGACAATGTGGATGGACCTAAAGGGTATTATGCTAAGTGAAAATAAGTCAGACTGAGAAAGACAAACACCAAATGATTTCACTCATATGTGGAATCTAAAAAAACAAAACAAATAAACAAACAAAAAGCAGAATCAGACCTATAAATTCAGGGAATAAACTGATGGTTGCCACAGGAAAGATGGTGGGGGGATGGGCAAAATGAGTGAAGGTGAGTGGGAGATCAGGCTTCCAATGATGGAATAAGTCATGGAAATAAGAGGTCCAGCATAGGAAATACAGTCAATGAGACTGTAATAGCATTGTATGATGAGACAGACTGTAGCTATACTTGTGGTGAGCACAGCATGGAGATGCTGAATCACTATGTCGTACACCTAAAACTAATCTAACATTTGTATCAACCATACTTAAATAAAAAAAATTAAAAAAGAAAACAACAGGTGGAGAGCCCAGAATATAGTTTGCCAACCTCTGCTTTAGAGCATTATAAAGGAAAAAATGAGAAATAAGTCTGATTTAATAAAATTAAAGACATAATAAAAACTAAATTCAAAAAATAATGAAGATTGCTTCAGAATAATGTTCTGCATTGAATTATTTTCTGGGACCTTTTTAATTTTAAATGATTAGTTATTGAATTATTCCAATTGGATTTTAAATACTGTAATAAACATACCTCTGATATTTGTGATCCTTCAACAAACTTGTTAAAAAAAAAATAAACCAAAAAATTCAAAGAATTTAATGGAAACCAAAATAAAAAAAGAACAAGTACATACTATATTATAGTGGCTAAAAACTTGTTTATATGTATTTCTCCAACCTTGGTGATTTCATTATATGAACTCCCTGACGTGAATCAAAATTACTGTACTGTTTTGATTTTATCTACTGATTCAACAATCAAATTTTTTTAATTCTATCATATATAGTTTATATTATGTTTACCAAGCTTAAAAATAAACACTACATGTTTTCTAAAATTATAAAAATCAGAGGAAAAACTTCCAAACTGTTCATTTAAATTTTATTGCTAGATCATATAAATTCAATTCCTTAAGAATAAATTGGTGTGTTTTATTTTATCCACAATATTACCAAACTTGAATAAATGCCTTTTCTGTCCAGTTTAGGCTCTTCTATTAGCAAGCTAAATGCCTTCTACAATTCTTTCTTGTTTAATCAAACTAATAAGTTACTACTGGAACAGGAGATAAAAAAGAAGGTCAGTAAATAAAACAATTTCAACAAATTCTTGAGGATATTAATAGGTAACAAATGAAAAAAAGAAAAGATTAAGAAATTTGCTCCATTTGGAATTCAATTTATAACTTCCTTTGGACTCTACTAGGAAATTCTGAAACATAATCTATAGATTTTTTTTAAATTTCTATTTTAATTCCAGTTAGTTAACATCCAGTGTTATATACATAGACTTTCTGATGGTTACAGACATCAGTGATTGATAACAGCCGAGCTGGACTGTCTGAACCCATACACCAAAAAAAAGTACAAAGTCCACTGTTTTCTACTTTAGTACTACTATGCTTCTGACAACACTTCCATCTCTAAATAGTAACAAATAGCATTTACCCTAATCTATTGTAGCTTAGCTAATGACAAATTTTTATTATTTCCCTTACTACTAGCCAAATCATACATGGCTCAGGAGAACTGACCAGACATATCTCTTCCAAACCCTGCATTCAGTGACATCATGTTGGTACCTTGAAATTGAGAGTATTTACCCAACAGAACCAAGCAAATGCTACAAATAAGGACTCCTGCTTTTCAGAGAGCCAGCTGTTAAACCTTTACCAGCACACTGCTGCTTACAATATGAATCTTTGGTCTAATTCTAGTCAGCTCCTAATAACAATGGGGATGAAGTAAAGGCACGTACTGCCACAATTTACATAATTTATTCCTGCCAACTATTCCTAAATTTATGAAAATGAATCCTATTCTTCCTTTCTAGAGCAAACGGAATCAAGAAAAGGAATGGTTACTTAATACATTTAATTCCTAAGAATGAAAAATAAAGAGCTTCTATATGGCCCTAGGTTCCAGTAAACTGAATATGTTAGCAAGGAGATCTCAAATTTTTAAGATATTTTATGCTACCTAATGTTCCATTTCCTATAATTAACTTTTTCTTTAAGTTTTAACATCTAGCAGTGCTCTTTCACATTTCCTTTAAAATAGTTTTCAGGAGATACATTTTTCTTAAAGTTTATGTTATTTAGTAAGAACCTTACCCCCAACTTTTATAATTATATTATTTGTTTTTACCTCCAAACTTTGTGCTTCTGTTGACTTCTCAAAACTGGCATCCTTTAAAGATGATTCTAAGCCTTCACACTGAAAGAAAGCAACACTGTAAGGAAAAACTCTACAAATTTTATTCTAACTTTATCTGGAGAGGTGTCTAAGACACAAACAAAATCCACTTCCACATGTATGCTTAATTTACTTCAATATACTTAGCTTTAAGTTCTTCAAATATGAACACTGTAATAGAGCCAGGGCAGCTAACATACCACAAACCCCCATCTTGAGTAACAAATGGCAGAACTTCACCTTTAAGACTAAGAGAACTGTCCTAAGTCAGCCTATTCATTAAAGAGAAATTAATACAAACTGGCCATCAGAAATTTTCACTTGTAATTCAAATCATATTAACAAATAAAGCAAGCAGGCAATATAATATCTTTAAAAGTGCAAAACAAAGAATATGAAACATACAATGCTGTAAGATTTGGCAAAATAAACTTATTTCAATGCTTTAAAAAAAAGTGATTAAATGGAAGACTAGGCTATTTGGACAAACCTTCTCACCAGAACAAGAAGAGATGGACAAAAACATACAGAAAAATAGGGTACACATTTGAAGGCTTCAGAGCTATCCATAGAGAATTTGTGATAGAAGAGGGAATCCTCAGAGAAGCAAGACCAGCATTTGACATTTCCTTCTTCCTGTCCAAAAGCAGAGGATGATAGGCCAAAAACTGAGCAGAAACTAATACCAACCCACAGTAGCTACCTTATAAGAAAGTCTAAACCAGAAACAGACCAATCCCTTGAAATAAAGCCAAACTTCCAAACATTTTAATCTGTAATTAAAGTAATCTACGATTTCTGATGTCTCAGCCTAGCTGCCTATGAGAAGCAACAGTAAATCCTCACTGGAGAAAGATAAAATCACTCACAGCTTCAAATTTTTCTCTTATATAACCTGGCATTGATGAACACAAGATCTGACTAAGAACCAAGAAAAAAAAAATAAGAGAAACAGACTCTTGAAGGACACAAATAATAGATTTTCAGTCAGAGGGCACCTGGGTGGCACAGGTGGTTAAGCCCCCAACTCAGATTTGGCTCAGGTCATGATCTCAGAGTTGTGAGATCGAGCTCCGCATCAGGTTCTGCACTCAGCATGAAATCGGCTTAAGATTCTCTCTCCCTTTCCCTCTGCCCCTCCCCACTGTGCTCACTCTCTCTCTCCCCCTCAAACTTACACCCAGAGACAGAGAGACTGAGCAAGCAAGGGGAGTGGCAGGCAGAGGGAGGAGCAGGCTCCCCACTGAGCAGGGAGCCCAACGTGGGGCTCAATCCCAGGGCCCCTGGGATCATGACCTGAGCTGAAGGCAGATGCTTAACCAACTGAGCCACCGAGGCATCCCTGATTTAAAATTTACATGGAATAGCAAAGTCCCAAGATCTCCAAGACAATCTTTAAGAACAAACATGGAGTTTTACACTGTAGCTATGAAGAATTGTTATAAAAATACAATAGATTAAAATAGCATGAAATTGGCACAAGAATTTCAAGAAAAAGACCAACAGAACAGAAGATATCATAGAAAGACTCAGATATATATGGCCACTTGATTTAAGATGACACTACAGAACAAAGGAAAAGATGGGTCTTTTCAATAAATGGTACTGGCTAATTCAATATTCATATGAAAAACATTGAAACTTGACTTCCAAATCATACCATCACAGATTCAATTCCAGATGAATTAAAGACTAATTACATTTGGGCTAAACTGTTTTCCCCAAAATTTATATGTTAAAGGCCCAGTACCTCACAATGTGACTGTATTTGAAGAGAGGCCCTTTAAAGAGATGATTAAGATGAGGCCTTTAGGGTGAGCCCTAATCTATCTAATCAGACTGGTGTCCCTATAAGAACAGGAAACACTGGGCACCTGCGTGGCTCAGTCAGTTAAGCCTCTGCCTTTGGCTCAGGTCATGATCCCAGGGTGCTGGGATCCAGCCCTGCATCAGGCTCCCTGCTCAGCAGGGAGCCTGCTTCTCCCTCTCCCTCTGCTGCTCCCCCTGCTTGTTTTCTGTCTCTCTCTCTCAAATAAATAAATAAAATTTTAAAAAAAGGGGGGGGAGGAAATATAGACAGACAAAGACACCAGAAATGAACACCTGCACAGAGGTAAGACCATGTGAGGTACGGGCAAGAAGGCGATTACGTGCAGGCTAAGGAGAGGAGCCTCATAAGAAACCAAACCTGCCAACACTTTGATCCAGAACTGTGAAAAAAATTAATTTCTGTTGGATAAGCCAGCTGGCCTGTGGTATTTTGTTATGGCAGTCCTAGCAAACTTATACAAAGACTAAATGAGAAAAGTAAAACAAAGTTTCTAAAAAGTAGCACAACGGAGTATTTCCATATCCATGAGTAGTCAAAAATTTTTAAATAAGAAACAAAAAGCAGTCATCAAAAGACAAGATTGACAAATCAGACTGTGTTAAAATTAAGAACTTCTGCTTACTGTTTGAAATAAAAAGGCAAACCACACAGTGGAGGAAAATATTTGCAGGACATATATCTGACAAAGGACTCATATTCAAATACAGAAAATATTCTACATATCAAAAAGGAAAAAGAGAGATAGCCACACCTTTTCAAATAAGAAAAAAACAACAAACCTCGAGCAGGGAACTTCACAAAAAGGATACCCAACATGACCAATAAATACTTGAAAAAGTGCTCAACCTCATTATCAGTGAAATACAGATTGAAACCACTGAGACACCACTAAATACATGTACCACAATGGTTAAAATTAGTAAGATTGGTAATATAAAGAGCAACTGAACGCTCACACTTTACAAAGCATTAATAATCTCAAACTTACATTGAAGTATCTGCATTGAAAAGTATTAAGTCCTCTGACTCTAACATGAATGTTAACATTTTCAAAAGTATCTTACCTCTTTTTGAACAAGGCTAAATTTTTCAAGTAGTTTACATTTTTCATCAATTAGTGTAGAAAGTTCTACAGCAAGCTTGTTCTCTCTCCCTGAAAAGAAAGTTCATATCATCATCATATGTAAATTGTTTTAAGTTTCAAAATTATAAACAATAATGATGAGATCTAGAATAGAAAAAAGAGCTTACCCACATAAAGCCGGCTTCTAACCTGAAACAAATTTTTAACAAAAATTACATTAAAACAAATATATGTTCAAGTAAATCTAATTTATTTAACTTCTACCAACTGAAAAGATAACTGGTTTCTTATTGCCTTAGTATGAATATATATTAACTGAAAGTGTTCTTTTTTCAAAAGGAAAGAAATGCTACATATTAAAGTCTCTCTACTGAAGAGTCACATTATGTATTAGCATATTAAAGGCTCTTAAATAACTCTACCTTAAAGACAACTGTTTCATTTCATTTATCCCACTGTTCTTCAAATATACTTGACCCTAAAACTATTTCAGGAAGCCCTTAGTATCCTCTCCCCCAGTGATAACATCCAAAATAACACAGTTTGAGAAAATGTTACCATAGGGCCATGGATTGAACTGACTACAAAATCTTTTTCTTCTTTAATCTCTTTCTCTCTCAAAAAATGAAGGAAAAATCCCATTTGTAAAGGTGAACAGGCTTAGAAGACTTAAATCATCTATGGAAGATATATAGGGATAAAATGTTAAAAAGTTTTTTTTTTTAAAGTTTTAAAGTCAAAGTACAGTAGAATCGGTACTGATGAGGACTAACTTAGTGAAGTGAATCATCACATTGAGGACCTATCTCAAAAGGTAATAACCTATAAAAAATTGAAAAACAAAAGTTAAGAAATATGGAAGGCAGAGGTAGAAGGGGCAGGATCTAAACACACAGTCCCAAAAAGAGAAAAACAAAATGTAAAATGAAGAAGGTATCTCCTGGGATTAAAAAAAGATGAAAGATCTCATATTAAAAGATTCCAAGGAATTCTAAAAAGAATTCTAAAAAGACAAGTAAGGGTTTAAAGTATTAAAAGGAAGTAAGGGTTTAAAGTATTAAAAGGACAGAACTTGAACTTAGGACCTAGAATGTTTGTATCAAACAAATTACGATTCCAATGTGGGAGCTTAATTCAAATATCCTCAAGCACTCAAAATAAAGTCTCAAAAAGTTTGCCATACAAAGATCTACACTAAAAACAATTTCGAAAGAAGCATTCAAATAACGGGAAGAAGTAAATCCAGGAGACCCTTCAAGAGATATGTCAATTAAGAGTAACCAAATATCAGGGCGCCTGGGTGGCTGTCGTTAAGGGCCTGCCTTCGGCTCAGGTCAGGATCCCAGGGTCCTGGGATCGAGTCCCACATCGGGCTCCCTGCTCAGCGGTGAGCCTGCTTCTCCCTCTCCCACTCCCCCTGCTTGTGTTCCCTCTTTCGCTGTCTCTCTCTGTCAAATAAATAAAATCTTAAAAAAAAAAAAGAGTAACCAAATATCTTAGTAATATTTTTTGTGGTCCAAAGGGATAGGGACAGGGTAGAGGAGAAAGCTAAAAACAAAGAAAAGAAAAAGAGAAAGGGGAGCCTGGGTGGCTCAGTTGATTAAACATCCGACTCTTGATTTTAACCCAGGTCATGATCTCAGGGTCATGGGATGGAGCCCCACGGTCAGGCTCCTTGCTCAGTGTGAAGTCTGCTTCTCCCTCTCCCTCTGCCCCTCCCCCTGCTCATGCATGCTCTCTCTCTCTAATAAATAAATATCATCTTTTTTTTAAAGATTTTATTAATTTATCTGAGAGAGCAGAAGCAGAGGGAATGCAGGCAGAAGGAGAAGAAGAAGCAGGCTCCCCACTTAGCAGAGAGCCCGCTGTGGGGGTCAACTCCAGGACCCTGGGATCATGACCTGAGCCAAAGGCAGACACTTAACCAACTGAGCCACCAGGTGCCCCAATAAATAAAATCTTAAAAAAATAAAAAAAGAAAGAAAAGAAATATGTCTGGGTTGGAAAGTGAAAGAAATCAAGGGATGTGAGAGTATGCTAAGGTTCTTGTCTTCATTGCAGGAAGATTTACTTACCAATGCAAAAAGAATTTAAAAGAAACATAAAGTGGAATAAATAAACTAAGCGAAAGAAACTGGTCCAAATACATCAATAAACATAATATATATAGATAGACTAAACTCAATAGGGAAAAAAAACAGAGATTTTCAGATTAGATATAAAAGAAATTTACATAGGATGCACATTAAATAGAAGACCATAGAAAGGCTGAAAAGCAGAAGATGGAAAAAGGCCCATCAAACATCACCCAAAAGAAAGTTGATATGGCTATAACAAGAGATAAAAGAAACCATAAGATAGAAGTATCACAAGGGGCGCCTGGGTGGCTCAGTTGGTTAAGCGACTGCCTTCGGCTCAGGTCATGATCCTGGAGTCCCGGGATCGAGTCCCGCATCGGGCTTCCTGCTCAGCGGGGAGTCTGCTTCTCCCTCTGACCCTCTTCCCTCTCATGTTCTCTATCTCTCATTCTCTCTCTCTCAAATAAATAAATAAAAAATCTTAAAAAAAAAAAAAAAAGATAGAAGTATCACAAACGTTAAAGAGGATCACCAGATATTGATAAAAAGTTCAATCCACCAACAAGAGATATAGCAATTCTAAACATATATACACCTAATAAAATATGCTCAAAATATGTAAAGCAAGAATTGATGGAACTACAAAAAGAAACTGATAAATCTATCATGAGAGTGAAATTCAGGCAAATTCTCTTCCTTTTTGATAGAGAGAAACAAACAAAAAAGAGCAAGAACATAACACATGAACACCAATTAGTCAGATCAGCAAGCTTGATCTAGTTGATGGATACAGAATGATATACATACATCTGCTTTCAACAATAAACAATGGAATAGAATAAAGAAAAGATCTACATGCATGTGTAACTCTAATATGTGGCATGGCAGATGGGTAGGAAACTGATTATATTCAAGATGGATCAAGAACTGAAGTGTTGAAAACAGTATTTTCAAATAATTTCTGTTCATCAGAAAACATCTTAAAGAACATGAAAAGATGTTTCATACTGGTACATTGATTTGGGACATTTGGGTTATTTCCAGGGTTTTTTTCTATTACAAATAGTGCTGCTGTGTATAATCTTATCCATCCTGAATACAACTTTTTTGCCTGGCATGAGGTAGGGATTCAGTGTATTTTTAACCCCAAGGTATAAACTGTAGTATATTCTTACAATGTAATATTCTAAAGCAATCAAAATGGGAAAAAAACATACCCTCATCTAAAAACATGGATGAGGGCGCCTGGGTGGCTCAGTTGGTTAAGCGACTGCCTTCGGCTCAGGTCATGATCCCGGAGTCCCGGGATCGAGTCCCACATCGGGCTCCCTGCTCAGTAAGGGAGCCTGCTTCTCCCTCTGACCCTCCCCCCTCTCATGTACTCTCTCTCTCTCATTCTCGCTCTCTCAAATAAATAAA